GTTGGAAGCATATCAGAAATCTTTATTAGACTCTAATGAAAATTCTTGTGAGGGTCTTGTTAAAGTTTTGATTACTAAACTCTTTGGCGGGAGCCCATATGTGTCCAAAGTAAAAGGGCCCAAGAGCCACTGGTAACAGCCACAGACACTGCAGCACTTCCTGGGTAGCCAAGCCAGGCAATGCAGCCTGGAGGGCACAAATGCTGCAGCGACTGCTGCCCAGGTCTGAAGCAGTGCAGGCAGGGTTGGTTCCAAGGGCTCTGAGGGAGAAGCTGCTTGGTGCTTCAGGGCCAGCTCTTTCTAGCTTCTGCCCCTTTGCCCCAGCTCTGCCACCACCTTCCTGCCTTCTCCCAAGAGCATGTCTGTCTGAGTTCCAGTTTCCCCTGCTCATGAAAACACCCAGTCCTGCCAGATCAGAGCCCCCGAGTAACCACACTTCTGGATTATCTCTGTGAAGATGCTTTCTCCAAAAAGAAGTCATGTTCACAGCTCACAGGTGCACAATTCAACCCATAATAAACACCTGACTCCAAATCACAGGGTCTGGATCCCCAGCTTCCATGTGGCCCAGAGCCTCTACCTCTCTCATCCACGTCTAGGCTGCCCGGGTGCACACTATGGAATGCTCGCCCCATGACTCCAGGACTGGCCTGTTGCCAGCCACCGGAGCTGGTCCTCTTCTGGCCCTGTACAGAGGAACTACAGACACAAGGTCATGACGCAAAGCAGACCTCCATTCCCAGTGTGACAATGAGGGGTGTAGTCGAGGAAGGCTCCCCAGTGCTGGAAGTTCAGAAGGGCTGTGCTTGGCAGAGGCTGTCTAAACTCAGAAGATCGGACTCAAAAGAAGTTGGTGGCCCAGGGATGCTGCAGCCAGGGGGTCAGAGGAAGAAGTAAACAGAGATGGAAGTCACGTGACAGGAAGCTGGGAAGTGACCAAGGCACACAGGAGAGATGGTGGGCCATGGTGGATGGTTGTCAGCCACAAGCCCCTGAGCATTTGCACAAGGGGGCCTGGCCCAGCAGGCAGGCTGGCAGGGCACCGCTCCACATCTGGGGCCAAGGCCAATACTGCTGGGGTGGTTCGGCCACATCGGCCTGGCTCTGAGTAGGAGACACTCATATCGCCAGTTTAGGTGGCTGCAGAGCAGGATCCGGCCTCACACTCTGAAGGCAGCGGTGTATGCTGAGGCCAAGAGGGGCCCTGTACCATAGGCCCTGAGCAAGAAGAGCCCCTGTGGGGTGACAGGCAAGGGTGGCGCAGACAAAGAACAGTAGCTCTGAGCAGTGGGAGAGAGAACAGACTGAATAGGAGCCAGGAAGAGGGGGGCCACAGGAACAGTGCGGGGCCTGGAGGTCAGGGGATGAGCCCAGGGAGGGCAGCAGAAGTGGCATCTAAAGACCAAGACTGTGCCACCCTCTGCCTTGCCAGCTCCGTCCACCTCAGTTTCCTCTCCTCGCACCCCAGAGACCATTTCCTAAGACCCTTTCCAAAGCCTCCAGCTCCATCTCTCCTGTCCCACACTGCTCTTCACCTTCGCAGGACGGACTGCAGCCTCAAATAATGGATTCATTGGCCCTGCTTACTTTCTAACATCAGCCACACAGCGTAGGGACCAAGTTCATCCCCCGCCCCAGTGCCAGCACAGAGCCAGGATCCATCTACACACAACATCCGCAATAAGGTGTGAAGCAACCCTTGTGTCTACCCACAGAGGTCAGACAAACAAGTGTGGTCTACCCAAATACTGGCATATTATTCAGTCATCAAAAGGAAGAGAGTCCTGACAGATATCACGACAGGGTGAATCTTGAGGACATGATAGTTGCAAAAGGACAAATACTTCAGGGCTCCATTGATTCATACAGAGTAGGTTAGTGAGCCAGGGGCTGGCAAAGAAAAGGCAGGAAGTTGGTGTTCAGTGGGGACTGTTTCTGTTTTGCAAGATGAAAGGGTTCCCAAGGTGGATAGTGGTGATGGCTGTGCACTCCTATGAGTGTGGTAACTGCATCTGCACACTGTTAAGATGGCAAGGTTTATACATCACGTGCATTTAACCACAATTAAAAAATCGGACTTTTTAAAAGGTGGGGAAAGTGCTTATCAAGGGAGTAAATGGGGAAGTGGGAATTCAATGAGGGAGGACGGGAGGGAGACAGAGGTAAGTAACAGGTGGAAAACAACACAGAGAAAGAACAAGACGAGGGACCAGAATGATACCCGAGGAGCCGCCTCTGCTCGCACTTGGTGCTTACCCTGAGGCCAGCACCCACTTCACATACCAGCAACAGCCGGGAGGTGAGACATCTCCTGACCAGGGATTCCAGCCTCGCCTGCCCCGCCTGTGTGTCAGAACCAAGAGGAGGCAGGGGGCCGTGCACTCTCCTGAACCCATTCCCCACGTGTCTCATCTCCTCCCATCTTCTCAGAGACCTGGGAGGAAGACTCAGAGATGGGCACCGAGGGCAGTGAAGCATGCGGCTCACCTCTGAGGGTGCCGGGCACCACCCCGGCTCACAGAAAGGCTTCCTGTGGGTGGAGCCAGCTGTCCTACCTAACAGAGCCTTACACTGCCCAGGGGAGCCCGCGAGCCAGCACCTCATTCCCAATGTGCCCCAGAGTCCCTGGTTGCTCCCCTCTCTGTTGGATAAGCATCTAGAAGGCTGACAAAGGGCTGGTCCATCTTCCACGTGTTCCAGCATCTCTTAGACATGAGCTCAAATCCTGAGTAATTTAAAAAGAGAGAGAGAGAGAGAGAAATCACTCAGATTTCAGAACTCCCGCTGTAGGTTGGTTTACATGTCTCGTGGGAGTGTGTCACAGTCTATCTTGTGCTTTGGCTTTTTTGTGTCTTTTCAAGCCCTCTGCCATCACCCCCAGGAGATGTTAAGTGTCAGGGAAACAGAGTATTTTTCTCTTACCTCTGGATCCTCAATTCATAGCACAGGGCAAGTGGACACAGAGAGTCCGTGATGAGCCCTGTGTATGCTGTGCTCTGAACTAACTCCTGAACGTGACGCCAAGCAGCACTCCCCTGAGGGAAGACAGCGGATGTCTGTGGGTGACCCGGGGCAGGACCCAGGTCTTCCATGGGGACGGGCTGGGACACTGGGTGCCAACGCTCCTGGTACTCCTGGCACCCTGCCTGGTACAGGCAGTGCCCAGGAAATATGCGGTACAATTGAAAAACACAGCATGTGTTTAAATTTAGAAAGATTTAGTACAGTAAAAGACACATTGTCATTAATCCCCCCTCAAAGTATGCTCCTTTGCCTGGATCACACTCATCCCATCTCTCTCACTGCTTTCTGAAACAGTTCTGGAAGTCCTTTTTCATGAGTGTCTTTAGTAGTGGCTGCCTCAGTGCCTTGAATCAATTAAAAATGTTTACTGTTCATGGACGTTTTGACTTTGATGAAGAGAGGTAAGGTGCCCAGTGCCAGATCTAGTGAAGAAGGCCAGCAAGGATACACTGCAATGTACCTGAGCCTGCCTTCTCACTGGATGGCTCTCGGCAGCAGCCTTCACTGTTATTATTTCTGTTGAGCTCGTTAAGATACTCACGGAACAGGACTTCCAGACCAAGACCAGGCCAAGCGTGGTGGTGCATGCCTGTAATCCCAGCTACTCGGGAGGCTGAGTCAGAGAATCACAAGTTCAAGGTCAGCCCAGGCAATTTAGCAAGAGCCTGTCTCAAATTGAAATTTAGAAAAGGGCTGGGATGGAGTTCAGTAGAAGAACCTTGCCTAGCATGCACGAGGCCCTGGGTTCCAGCCCCAGGACTGAAAAAAAATTTTCGCAAAGGGCACAAAACCAGTGCCCTCTTTACCATACAGAGTCCATTGTGGTAGAAGAGGTAGACTCTAACCAAATAATTGTATGAAAATACATTTAAATTATACTTTCAATTACACAAATTTATGGAGTACAGTGTGATAATTTGACACTTATACTGTATACAGCATGTAATGATTAAACCTGGGTAAACAGTCCCATTTCCTTAGACACTTTATCTAGAATTTTAATTAACATGCAGTTACCGTGTTTTTATGGAGTAGAGTGTGATAGTTCAATACATGTAAACAGCATGTACTAATCAAATCCAGGAATTAATGTTTCCATTGCCTTGCCATTACTTTGTATTTGAAGTCTCTGAGCTCCACTCTTCTAGTTATTCATAAAATATACAATAGATTATGTGCATGTGAAAGGTTGAAACCTGCAGCAGAAAGAGAGACTGAGGAGAGGTTCACAGCACATGAGAACTCATAGATGGGAGACATTAACCAAGTCAGAGGGAGCTGCAAGTTCAAGGTCCCCCTATAAGTTCAGGATGGGAAGCAGCATGGTGAGTCCAGGGAAAGAAAGTGGCATCCCTGGCCAGGGTACTTGGGATGGCATCGAGACCGTGCAGCGCCTCAGGGACCACACCTAGGAGTCAGGCTTGTGCATGTTTCTAGATAGGAAGCCTGTGGTTTTCATTGCATTCTTAACGAGCTCTTTGACCCTAGTACACTTCAGAGGAGCCCACTGTCAGAAGCCCAGCCAGATCCTAGGCTTCATTTAATGATAGTCAGAGCCCCAAGCATGGTGATGCACACCTATAATCCCAGCACTCTGGGAAGCTGAGGCAGGAGAATCTCAAATTCAACCCAGCCTGGGCAATTTGGAGAGAGTTTGTCTCAAAATAAATTTTTTAAAAATTAAAAAGAGCTGGGATGTAGCTCAGTGCAAAAGTCCTGAGTTCAATCCCTAAGAGAAAAAGAGAGTCAGAGAGAGGGGAGTGGCCAGAGACAGAGAGACAGACAGAGATCAGCTCTTGAACACTAAACAAAGACCAGCTCTTGGACATTGAAGAGGGCATCTGTCATTTTTGCCTATCCCACATTCATTCTCCTCTTTTCTGATATCCTCACTTTATTTCCTTTTGGGGAAATCATCCCTAATCCATTCTCACTCCTTGTGCTTTCTGTGGAATTAACCCTACCTCCAACTCTAGGGAAGATCATGTGACCCCCAAACTGGCCAATGAGAGAAGAGCAGCTGTGGTCTGAGATGGGCACATGACCAAGCAGGACCAATGAGCATCAGCACCAGGAACTGCAGGGGCTACCACCCAGGATCTCCTGTGGTTGGCCAACTGGTGAAGAGTCAATCTGCATTAGCTGATATTTGAAGCATAGAGTTGGCCTGGGACAGAGGCATCTGGAAGAAAGCAGCACCAAACACTGGAGAGAATCCCATAACAATCCCATGTGAACCCCTGGATCCAGACTTCCCCATAACTGGAACTCTCCCTGGACTCATCAGTCACATGAGCCAAGAATTACCTGTTTAGGCCTGACTGGATTGTGTTTTACTTGCAACCAGTAGTTCTTACTGATACATCTCTCTAGTCACAGTTTGGAAAAATGAGGCCCAGACAGGCATCACAATATACTTTACAACAAAGTCTTTGTAAATGGGGAGGGGAGAGGGGTTGAAGTGAGGGCAGAGGAATGGGGAAAAAATAAGAACCAAGATATGTTATGTAAAGTTACAAATTCCCAATGATGAATGTCAGCACACTGCATACCTAAGAAGTACCAATAAAATTAATGAATGAAAAAAAAGACAAGAGCCCAGAAACTGGGCCTGTGTTCCTGGGTAGGCTGGGGCGAAGGCCAGCAGCGGCTTGTTCCTTTGGCCGTGATACCCCTTTCTCTTTCCCCTTGGCCTGGATCCTAGGGAGAAGCAGCTTTCCCTTCCTCTCTTTTAACCTCAAGGGCCCAGGCAGAGAAACAATAGGGAGGACATGATCCTTGGTCCAGCCCTGACCAAGAGACATCTCTGGGTACTGAGTTCCTTCTGTGGCTGGGACACAGGTAGCTTGGCAAACCCTGAGACTGCTGGAACAAACTTCAGCTCACTAAATCGCTAAAATGTACTTTTAGCTCAGGCTGGGCTCAAACTTCCAATCCTCCTGTCTTAGCCTCTTAGAGAGCCAGGATTATAGGTGTGAGTAACCATGCTCGGCTAATGAAATCCATCGCCACAAGTAGTAAAACTGGTCCTCTCAAAGTCCAAATGGAATTTTCCCACCCACAATTAAAAATTTCACATCTTCTCTTTGGTCTGGGTTAGTGACCTACAGAACCCTGTCCGATCTGGAAGCTAAGTTCCTCTTCCATCCCACCTAACAAGGAAACCATCTCCTGATGCTCACAGTGCCAGCTGCTGGTCATGCCTCTGCAGGGATGGGTTCACTCACTGCCCACCCAGCCTGCTCTGTCCTTTACAGTCCCTGGTCATTTCCAGCATGTGAGCTGAGATGTCCAACCGCATACATGGATGGCACAGAGGTGACAATCGAGGCTCCCGACTCAGAGGTACCCGAGTGAATCCCAGCTCTGCCTCTTTCTAGAAAAGGGAACTTGGAAAGTTTCTTCTCCTTACTGAGTCGTTTTCTTATCTGGAAAGTGGGGATAATCAAAGGCGTCACTGGGTTTATCTGGCTCTTGGCACTTAGCAAGCGCCTGGGGAATGTAGGTGCCCAATGTCGCTACTGTGATAACTGTCAACAGATATTATCACCCCTGGACTCCTGGGAGCTACGGCCACCACACAAGAAAGCAGAAATGAGTGCACATCCAAGAAGTCAGGCATCCAGTTCCCATTCCTGCTCAACAGCCTTCATTCTCTGCTCTGTACTGGGTACATCAGTAGTGCCACGCTTATTTCACACGGTGTTCAAGAGGGAATAGCAACTAACAAATAGTGGCTAATAACATCACTTCCATAGAGCTTTACAGTTTACAAAGTCAGTGTCTCTTCTCCCTCCCACCTTCCCTTCTTTCCTCTCTTTTTTCTCTCTCCTTCCCTTCCTCCCTCTCCTCTGTGGGACACAATTGTGAAGACACAGAAGTGAAGCAACCAGCCCAGGGTCACACGGCTAGCAAATGGCAGAACAAAGATTTGCTCATACTCCTCCTCCAGCTGTCTCATTCAGCGCTGAGGCCCAGCCCAGGGGCAGATGTTCAGTGAGACTTGAGTTCTGTCCACAAAACCATGCCACCTCCAGGGCAAAGGCTGCTAGACCAACCTACGGGGCAGGAGCTTCCATGTTAGGAAGGACTCCCCAGTGGGACAGCATTTGGGGACACATGGAGAAGAGAAGGGGGTGAATTGGCTTCAGTCGGCTCTCCTGGCTCCCAAGGGAGGTTCAGCTTAGGGAAGACTTGTTCATTCACCTCAGCCTGCAGAGGGCTAGGTGGAAGAGGGGACACCACCCCAGGCTCATGAAGGGCAAGTAGGAACTGCTGAGGAAACTCTAATAGGCAGCAGCTGTCTTCCAAACACAGGCTGTTTGGTTCCCACCCACAGAAAGACAGAGTTAATGAGCATTACAGTGGGTTGAGCTGAAGCCACAGGAAGTGAGGCTGGCTAGGAAGTTATTCTCAGCCCTTGTGGTTCCCTGATCCCTCTCCTCTCTCACCACTTTTCTTTTGGTTACAGAAGTAGGCAACCGCGGGATGTACCCTCAGCCACCAAGACGGACTCAGTCGGGTGGGAGGGCAGGGCCACAGGCTGAGGGGTGTGTGAACTTCTGGTCTGACCCACTTCCTACCAATAACTGGAGAGGGAAGGCAAGCAAAGACACACCCTGCAATCACCCTAAATACCTAAACTCCATCCTCTTGGAGTCCTGCCTGCTCATCAGGATCCACTGCCCCTGAGGAACTGTCCCCCAGTGGACGCAGTTCCCGGGGAGCTTCCTCTCAACGTACTTCCCCCTTGCTCTGACAGATCCGAGCTAGGGTCCTCTGCATGGCAGGGAGTCTTTCCTCTGTGTTGTCCCAGGGAACTTGTCCACCAGGTCTGTTTGTCATTTCTCAGTAACAGAATGCATACAACCTGAAGAGGGAGGCCCAGGAGCTGAGAAGCTGTAATTGTGTTCAGACAGCAGATGTTTGGGGACAAACAGGCGGCCATGGGCTGTGGGAACAGAGTGTGCGACTTGGAAGCAAGAAACCTGGCTTGCAACTCCAGTTCTATGAGGCCTCTCAGGCAAATGGCTTCTTCAGCTCTCCCTCTCCTCTGGAATGGGTGGGGAGGATAACACACCTACACTTCTCAGGGCTATCGAGAAAATCCGGGGCAATGCACTGGGAAGCATCAGGCCCTGAGAAATTCCTAGCAGTGACCATTTCTTTGACTTAAGCCACTGAAGGGTGCACTAAATAAGAAGATAACTATATTTCTTTGGCCATTGGGACAAATTTCCACACATTTAATAATTCAATGCAACACAAATGTGTTATCTTGCAGTTCTGTGGTTCAGAAATCCAGGTGGACTCAGCTGGTTTTTTGCTAAGGGTTGTACAGGGCTAAAATCAAAATGCCAGCTGGCTGAGCTCTTGGAAGTCTGGAAGCTGGCTTCTTGGTGGATTGCGGTTGTGACAGAACTGTCTCCTGGCTGCCAGCAGGGAGCATCCCAAGCCTCACAGTCCTCTCTGCACCCTTTACCCAGACTCCTGCACCTCAGAGCCAGTAATGGGACAGATATGGCCTCCTGATTCTGCCTGTGGGTTTCCCCCTCTCTTTTGCCCGAAGTCAGGGAGATTCTCAACATTCAAGGGATTATTTGATCAGGGTGGACCCACCAAACAGTGTAAGGTCAATATTATTCTCAGTATTGGATTGCTATGGGTTTTGAATTGTGTCCCATTTAAAAAAAAAAAAAAAAAAAAAAAAAT